TATTTTTTTTTTTTTCTAAAAAGTTAAAAAGTTACAATTGTTATTGTAGTTTGTTTGACAGGAGGCCGGAATTACATATGTCCGTATGTTTTGCAAGTTTAGTCTGATTTGGAAATTTCAAGCTGAAGAAACAGGTTTGCTGCCGCAGGCCCGCGTGATACGTACGATTTTTAAAAATTAATCATGTGTTTTTGGATTCATATTTAAAGGCCGTTTTAAAGCGAAGAAACGTACCGTTAAGAACAATGACGCAACCGCAAACACCTCCCCATACCGTCGATAAAAATGGTGTGATTCCAACACTACCTATAAACGCTCAAGAAAATACCGAAAGCCAAGACACCTCTTTCACCTCAAATCAAAATATGGATGTTGAAACAAATGCAAAGGCCCAGTCTGCGAGTATAATTGCAAAAGCTTGGCGAAATCATAGGTAACTACTCACAAGCACTTTGTGCATTCTTTTTGCTGAATGGTAATTATTAATTTTGAATCCGTTAGAACACGGAGAGAAAAACAAGGCAAAGTATTATCTCCCGAATCTCGTGATAAACTTCATGCTGACAAAAAAGCTTGCTTGCATTTGCTCGATGATGGTTCATGCCCAGTATGGCTTAAATGGGAAGAACTATTAAATGCCGTTGAAAGCCAAATGCATCGGAAAGATTCAAAAATGGCATTTGCAGTCGATGTTGTTGAGCGCATTGGAAAAGTAAATATATCATTTTATTTCATCAAATTGATGATTATTTTTCCAAAATTTTTAATCTTCGAAAATTAGGGCTCAAGTAGTGTTAAAGATCATATGTGGCTTGTATTGGATACAGAGCACTGGTTAGAGATCTGTGACAACAAACATAGATATGGAGCAAATTTAAAGGTTAGCATTTTATATCCACTGAAAACAAATGGGGGGTGTCAATAGAAACCAAGCAAATTTAAAAGATAAATTTGCTTGGTTTCTATTGACACCCCCAAATATTGAAGACAAGTTCTTTATTATTTTTTAACTATTTCTTTAATTTTACCTCTCAAAGATTTATCATGATTATTGGCTAAAAACTTCAACACCTGAAAGTTTTTTCATTTGGCTAGACGAAGGCGAAGGCAAAAATTTGGATCTTAAAGCCCGTCCACGTTGTAAGCTCGAAAGTGAGAAAGTAAAATATCTTTCAAAAATAGAGCGCGCTGATTTTGAAGTAATTTTCAAAGACGGATTATTAATTTATAAGAAAAGC